CCACTCTGTCTTTAACCTCCCAGCCCTCCCAATCCTCCCGGGGTGCACCTGTCTGGACCCTGAACTTGGACCCAGTGGTGCAAACTGCAGGGCAGCCTAGGAGCCTCGGTTCTGGCGGGAACCGAGGCTGGTCGCAGCAGCGCAGGGGCGCCACCTAGCGCCCAGCCGGCGGCAGCGCTGGGAAAGCTCAGCGCCTCCTTGCAACAAAGTAGCGAAGACAGGGAGCCCAGAAACAAGAGGTCCCCGGTGCCTGGCAAGTCCTGGGAGAGGAGGGCAGAAAAGTGATGAGGAGAACAAGCATAGGAACAGCCTGAGTCCCTTTCTCTTTTGACATATACCCTTGGATTCATGTGTCCTTGTAAAATATGGTTATTCGGTGCCTGAGATTTTAAAATAGTGCTTTCCCCCCCCTCTTTCCTTCTTTAGGGTCGTCGTTAGTCTTACTTAACTAGTAATGGCTGGATTGCTTAGATGCAGGGTTTTGTTCTTGTGATCCGGGTCTTGAGTGTGGAAAGCTGAGAGTTACTGAAATATCTCCACCATGTCGTACCCCTTTCTTTCTTTTTAAATCTCCATTTCACAGGTTTTATTGAGATATAATTGACATGTAACATTGTACTAGTTTTAGATGTATGATGATATGATATATGTAAATATTGCAAAATGATCACCACAGTAAGTCTCATTAACATCCATCACTTTACCTAGTTACAATTTTTTCCCTGTGATGAGAACTCTTTAAGATCTACTCTCCCAACAGCTGTCAGGTATATAACACAGTATTGTTGACTACAGCCACCATGCTGTGCGTCACATCCCAGAGTGTATTAGTCTTTTTTTTTTTTTTTATCCTCACCCGAGGACATTTTTCCATTTTTTGTTCAGACAGAGCGGGAGGGAGAGAGAGGAAGAGAGAGAGAGAGAAACATCGACGTGAAGGGACACATCGAGTGGCTGCCACCCTCACGACCAACCAGGGCCGGGGACAAACTGCAACCGAGGTACGTGCCCTTAGCGGGAACCGAACCCGGGTCTCTCTGTACCGCAGGCCGACGCTCCAACCGCTGAGCCAAACCGGCCAGGGCTTTTTTTTTTTCTTTTTTCAGAGTGTATTAGTCTTATCCCTCTGACCACCTTCATCCACTCCTGTTTCCGGCTGCCACCAATCTGTTCTGTTTCTATCCGTTCCGAGTCCTTTTCACACGATGTACAGATAAAGGAATAAGAAACTGGAAAAAGTAACAAGAGTTTTACTCTCCTTTGCTTACGGATCGGTACATGTATGTTTTCAAGTAAAAAAAAAAAAATCCTTTTGTTTTGAAATAATTATAAACTCACAAGAGATAGCAGAAATAGTACCTGGAGTCTAAGTCCCCTTCCTCCTGATCTCCCCAATGGTGACATCTTACAGTGCTGTGGTACAATGTCACACCAGGACCTTGATGTTGGTACACTATTAACTAGACCCCGGAAGGCACTCAGTTTCCACTATGTTTATGTCAGATGTGGACTCGGGTATCTGCCACCGCAGTCGAGATACAGAATCCCTCCATCACCTGCTCCCTCTTTTATTCACCCCCAACTCCCACTTACTTCTTATCCATCTCAGCGATTTTCTCATCTCCAGGTGCTGTCTGAATAAAGCCATGCTGGATGCGACATTTTGCACTTGGCTTTTCCCCCCACTAAGCATGGTGCTGACCGGGGTCCATCCCGGCTGTTGCATGTATCAGAAGTTCCTTCCTGCCCTGGCCAGTTTGGCTCAGCAGGAGAGTGTTGGCCCTCGGACCAAAGGGTGGCGGGTTCGATTCCGATCAAGGGCACGTACCTCGGTTGCGGTTTGGTCCTGGCCCTGGTTGGGGTCACGGGGGAGGCAACCAATCAATGTGTCTCTCTCAGGTTGATGTTTCTCTTCCTCTCTCTCTCCCACTCTATCTGAAGATAAAAATGGAAAAAAGTATCCTTGGGTGAGGATAAAAAAAAAGAAGAAGTTCATTCCTGTTCACTGCTGACTGGTGTTCTTTCAGCGAGTCCTCCACGGAGAGACATTTGGGTCGTTTTCCAGACCGCTATGATGAATCATCCACCGTGAACATGTTCAGGCTTTGTGTGAACATAGGAATCAATTTCTCTGGGCTAAATGCCCAAAAGTGAGATTGCTGGTCATGTGGTAAGTGCAGGTATTAGTCTTATCCATTTTTCTAAAATATAAATCAGGCCCTGGGTGGTTTGGCTCAGCACAGTGTCGGCCTGCAGACCAAAGAGTCTCAGGTTTGATTCCAGTCAAGGGCACGTACCTCGGTTCCGGTTTGATCCCCGGCCCTGGTTGGGTTGGTTCAGGAGGCAACCAATCAGTGCGCCTCTCTCACATCGATGTCTCTCTCTCTCTCTTCCTCCCTCCCACTCTATCTGAAAATCAATGGAAAAAGTGTCCTCGAGTGAGGATTAAAAAATAATAATAATAAAATAAAATATAAATCAGAAACTCCAGATTATGGGAAGTGGATTTGGAAGTGGCCCCAGGACAGGGGATCATGCGAGGCAGTGGAGCTGGTCACTTACGTCATGTGCGGTAACAAGTCACGGGCACTGTGCCCTGACTTGGAGAGCAGAGACAATGGAGAGGAGAGATTAATGCGACAATTCCTCTGTGTGCTCTGAGAAACTGCCTGCAGCTGGCCAAGAGTTTAGGATTCGTCCTTGGTCAGTCTCCTGTTGAGAAAAATGTTTAATCGTGTCCTTGTAGCAAAAAAAAAAAAGTTTACTCCCATGATAACTTAGGGTGGAGTGTGTAATTGCTGCAATTTGCATACACTCGAATTTAGTTAAAACGAAATATTCCGGCAATGGGCATATTGATTGAATATGTGTTTCCTGTTGGGAGGCAGAGACGCCTTGCAGGTCCCATGCTGTGGAAGCAGCCTGCGGCTGGGCATGGCGGAGGCCCGCGGTGAGCGCAGGCGGCGGACCAGCTCCCCGGCGCTTGGCCTCAGTCTGGAGGGCCCACGCTCAGTTTAATTCTCTGTTGTCGCCATCTTCAAATTTGTAAACTGTGAACCAGGGGCCTGCGTTTTCAGTTGGGGCCCGCAGGTTATGTGGCTGGTCCCGGTGGACAGTGGTCCCAGCAGGCCGGGCTCTGGCTTGAACGTGAGCTGAGACCTATCACACACGAGGAAGGACAGTGGCTGGTTCTGGAAGATGCGTAAGGCCACAGGGAAGGCTTGGGGGCACCCGCAGGCCAAGGAGGACAGCAGTGGAGGCTTGGTCCACAGGGGAACCTGGAGATTAGGCGAAGGCCACCAGCACAGCCTCGAGGAATCAGCTCCGAGCCCCAGGGTGTCATGGTGACGCCCTCTAACTTGCTCCCCAGCTGCAGAGACCTGGTGCTGTCCGTGCTGCCTCCAGGCCCCGTGAGCGCTGGCAGGGTGCTGTCAAGAAGTTGCGGTCCCTTGGCGGACCGGCCCGGCCATACCCTCCAGCTGGACTTGGGCTTCTCGGGGGCACCTGTGTTTTCAGAGGACCATTCAGACTGGTCATGAGGATTCTGGGGTCTCCCCGCCTGGAGTCAGGGTCAGGGCTTGGTGGGGGACACCTGCTGTTTTCCCTTCTGCCACCCGAGGAGGGTCGTCTCCCCGGCCCGGGGCACTGCACACCTGAATGCTGGGGTCACACTCAGGCTGCAGGTCAGACCAGACTTCCAGTCCCCAAAACAAGGTGACCGTCTGAGGGCCCTCAGATGGCACTGCCCTATCTCTCTGGCCTGTCTCCCCAGTGTGACCATGGACGTCTGAGGGCCAGGGCTCTATCTTCTTCATCTTTGTGTCCCTTTGTATCCTGGGTTTGCATCACTGGTAAAACGAGGAGGAGCAATGAGAGAAATGTGGGGAGGAGGCGCCAGGGACTAGAAGGGAAGGAGTCGGAAGCGGTCACCCGCGAGGACCACCAGGGACCGGAGCTCATGAGGGGGAGAAGTGAGCTCTCTGGGTTTCTTGGGGTTACTTTCTCAGGGGTGAGTCTCAGGTTCTCTTTCCATGTCATTATGGTGGAGACAGTACTGTCGCAGCCAAGGGAATGAATAGCCAAAATCATGATTAGGGCCAAAAACTGGACAGGATGGGGGAAGGGAGGGTATAAGGAACAATTTGGTCGTTTTTTTGTTTTTTTTTATCCTCACTTGAGGACATTTCTGCATCCATCCTCAGATAAAGAGAGAGGGAGAGAGGGAGGAAGAGAGAGAGAGAGAGAAACATCAACGTGAAAGGGACACATCAACTGGCTGCCACCCACACGACCTGAACCAGGGCCGGGGACAAACTGCAACCGAGGTACATGCCCTTAGTGGGAACCGAACCCGGGTCTCTCCGGACCGCAGGCCGACGCTCTAACCGCTGAGCCAAACAGGCCAGGGCTCCCACGTTTCTGCTGCGGTGCCCTGGGACCGCACTGGGGGGGGGGGGTGTAGTGTTCGGATCTGCAAGCTCTCGCCCTTAGGCGGACATTGGGGTTATCTCCAGACTTTGCCATTACAAACAGCACGGCCACGAGCCAGGTGTGCACGTCTTTTTCTGTGTTTGTAAGTAGATCTCTGGGACAAACCCCGAGACAGTGGATCAGTGTGTGGAAGGGTAAAGGTGTTGGCAGTTCTGCTAGATTTCCCCATAGTGTCTCCCTCCGGTCTGACTGCTTTGCACGCTCATCAGTGATGGAGGGGCGTCCCCCACAGACTCCCAAAACAGAGCAGCCATCCTCGGACTTTTCAAACCAATCTGATAGGTGAACCTGGTAGGCTAGTGGGCGTCACTTGCCTGAGTGACGGAGGTGGTTTTGGGGGTGGAGTAGACCACCCCAAATGGAGGCCAAGGCCGGGTGTGTCTCACCCACTGTGCCCCCCAACAAGAAGCAGCACTTGGAGCTGAGCCCTGGTGGGTTTATTATCTGTCCTTGGGTAGGATGGGGGACTCAGGCTCCTAGCAGGGAGTTAGCTGGGGGCGGGGGACCCTTCACACAGGCGTGTAGGTCCCGTTGTAGCTGAAGGGGGTAGGCGCCAGGCACACCCTGCTCTCCTCAGGGAGCCATCGCTGGACATAGTTGGGGCCACTGTCCTGAGGCCACACGATCACGGTGTCTCTGGATGCCACGGATGGGTCCTCTCGGAAGAAGTTGAAGGGGCGGAGCAGGAAGCCCACGGAGTTTCCCGGGGTGGTTGTGTTGGGGATGTCCTCTGAGTGGGGGATGTGTAGGAAGCCGACCGTCACCCAGGCCACCAAATCCTGGGGGAGAGAGGGGTGGGCCGTGCTGAGGAGGCTCGAGAGGAGGGGGTGGGCGGCCCCCTCGAGCCCCCTTTGTAAGCAATGGGCAGGTCTGGTGACCACTGGGCTTGCTCTCCGCAGAGAAAGCTGCCTCTGGTCGTAGATCCCGGGCCGGGGCACAGGCTGGTCTTGGGCGGGGGCTGGAAGGCAGGGCCAGTACCTCATCTTCGATGTTCTCATTGTTGCGGAGAAAGTCCTCGAAGACCACAGGCGGGTCCCAGGGGTCGTTCTGGTTATAGATGCTGCTGCTGCACAGCTCAGACTCCCGGTACTTGGTCACTGCCAGGGGGTACCTGCCAGGCAGAGAAGCCAGATGCTCTGGGCACTGGGGGCTTCACCTGCAGCGTCAATATGTGGCTTTCCCCCAATTTCGAGATCATCTCCCAGGAGTCAGTCAGACTGCCCGAGTGTCAACTGGGGCTTGGGTGCTCAGAACGGGCCCTCTGCTCCCCCTCCCAGACACAGAGCCACGGCCTGGATACACACAGCAACACAGACACACACGGGCACACACATCCGGACACACAGGCTCAGAGTCTCACAGACAGACACACACACGCCAGACACAGGGAAACACATGGAGGGGCCTCTAGCCCTCCTCAGCCCCCAGGCCCCCTCACCTGGCCCAGGTGACAGCCTGCTCCTCCTGCCAGCCCGGGGGCAGCACCTGGTCGGCCATGGAGTGGATCTGCAGGCGGTAGCTGCGCTTGTGGCCCCAGGGGTTCTCCTGGGGGCTGGTGAAGAGCAGGTACCTGGGCAGAGTCCGCCCAAAGCGGAAGGCCGCCTGGCGCTCCGAGGGGTGACTCTTACGCTCCAGAGTCGGCTGGACCAGCCGGTGTTTCGGGCTCCAGGGGTTGGTGATGTTTTCTAGCTTCATCTGCAGGGTCTGGAAACTATTCTTGGTGCCTGCAGGTGTGCAGGGAGACACAGAATGAGGACCCAGGCCCCCGAAATGACACCTCCCCCATTCTGCACCGGGATCTCAGCCCCAGACCACATCCAGCAACGAAGGGGGTGTCAGGGGTACGCATGAGCCAGCTGTGGGCGGAAGGAAGGGATTTAAAACCAAAACCAACAGAGGAGCCAGGAGGCAACTCCGATGGGTCATGGCGGCTGCAGTGATTCCAGCGCAACCCTGGGCACTGCCCTCTGTGCCCAGGAGGGGAATGGGGCTGAGCTGGTTGGGGAGGGTGGGGGCAAGCAAGGAAAACCACCTATCTGGTCCTAGGGGACCTATTTATTTATTTTTTTAATCCTCACCTGAGGATGGTCTTTGCATTCATCTTGAGGGAGAGAGGAGGGAGGAAGAGAGAGAGAAACATCGACACGAGAGAGACACATCGAGTGGTTGCCACCCACACGACCCCAACCAGGGTCGGAGACAAACTGCAACCGAGGTACGTTCAGCAGGAACTGAACCCGGGACTCTCTGGTCCGCAGGCCGACGCTCGAACCGCTGAGTCAAACCGGTCAGGGTTGAGGGGCCTATTCTGGCATGTGATCTGATGTCAGGCCACATCCATCAACCCGGGAGACGTGAGCACCCCCACGACATTGCTTCTACCTCCAAGTGCCAGCAGCGACACTGCTCTCGTTCTGAGGCATCATCCTCTCCTCTACCCTGGGGGTACCTTTCTACCCAACCCACCAGTGGTCAGTGTAGCCCCTGGGGGACAGGATCCTTGCTGCACCCAAGGGAAGCAGGGGTCCCAGCCTTGCAGGGTCCAGAAGCAGGCTGGGCACATCCTCCTGACAGTGCCCCCCCAGGCCAGGAGCATCGTCTCCCCCGAGTGGGAGTCAGTGCTCAGACGTGGGGTCGGCCTGGAGGGGTCCCAGCCGAGCCCCACCTGCCACGTCCAGGTCCACGCGGTAGTGCACCAAGTGGGTGTGCATGTTGCCGAGCAGGTGGGTGTGCAGGCGAGTCCCGTGGCGCTGCCCCTCGGGGGTGTAGAAGGTGGCGTGGACATAGCCGGTGGCGTGGATCTTGGCCTCCATCACCCCGTTGGGGTAGAAGATGAAGTCCCAAATGTAGTCATAGTTGTAGACCGTGGATGTTGTCCGCACAACCAGCACCTGGCCCTCGAGTCCCGCGTAGAAGTTGAAACCGCCGCTGAAGTTGGAGTTGAAGTGACGCCGAACGGGCACCCCCGTGGGCATCTCGAAGATGCAGAGGGCTCGGGAGTAGTGGATGGGGTCGTCGATGTCGTAGTAGTGGAGGGCATCCAGGAAGGTGGCCGTCTCCGGGCAGTCGATGCCAGGGGCCAACTCATAGGTGACGGTGCCCAGGCCCCAGCCCACGTCGATGTAATTGGTCTGCATGCCCGCGGGTGTGTGGCCTCCGTACAGGGCCACGGCCTCCTGCACGCTCACCTCGTAGGCGATGCGCTCCCCGCCAAAGTGCACGTCCAGGATCTGCAGCCCCGTGGAGGAGCGGAGCCTGAAGGCAAAGCGCCAGCCTCCGTAGAGCACGGCGTTGCTCTCCAGCCTGTAGCGGGGGCCGTTGGGCTGCACCAGGTGGGGGCCCTTCCTGGTGATGGGGCTCGGGAAGTCCCCTCGGGGCTGGTAGGACGAGAAGAGGGGCGGCCTCTCCATGCTCTCTGCCTCCTGGTCCTTGGGAAGCGGGTCCTCCAGGACCACCACGTCCACCTCTCCGTCCTTGTACTTCTGAGCCAGTTCTTCTGGGCTTTGGTAGAACTTTCCATTGTACCAGACCTGCTCCACCACCCAGTCCTGGGCGTCTGTGCTGCCGTGGTCCATGAGGAGCTCCAGCCCAGTGGGGTGTAAGAAGAAGCCTTCCACAGAGCGCTGCAGGATGAACCAGGTGCGGCGCTGGCCCGAGGCCAAGCCGCGAGGGGCCACGTCCGTGAAAGTCAGGCAGCGGCTCTGGCAGTCGTGCAAGGAAAAGCCTGTGGTGTCAAGGAAAAACTGGTGCAAGGGCTTGGTGGCCTTCTGCAGGGCGCGGTGCAGGAGGGCGTACTCCACAGAGGTGATGGGCCTGGAAGCCCAGGAGATGCGGTGCCCCGGCCTGAGGGGCAGCTTGCGCATGTAGTAGGGCCAGGGCAGGGGCCCCACGGCAAACTCGGTGACATTGGGCTGCTCCTGGGATCCGAAGAAGATGACAGCACGCGCCTCCCGCACGGGCCGCCTGTGCCCGTGGTCCAGGAATTTCAGCACCTGCTGCTTCTTCGGCAGCAGCATCTCAATGAGGAACACCGAGTTCTTGGCCAAGGTCTGAGCCTTGGAGGGCTCCAGCCTCAGCTCCTTCTGGGACCAGAGGAAGCTGCGAACCGCCTTTATCTCCTGTGCGCTCAGGTCCGCAAACACCCCAGCCTTGCTGCGCAGGGCCCTTGGGGAGTGGTTCGCCCCGGCCAGCCTCTGCAGCGTCAGGACGGCAGCTAGGGCCCAGGTGAGGGCCAGCGTCTCTCGTCTCATGACTCTAGAATGCACGAGAGATGAACTTAGTTGTTTTATGAGAGGACAGGGGTTTCCCGTAATGGCCTCTGGCCCCGTGATTTCCCTACAGACCTGGCTTCCTCCCTGGGCCCCCCCAGAGGCTATCCTGGGGCAGCGGGGGCCCCTGTTGCTCAGACCTGTGCTTTTCCATTGCTTTTTTTTTTTTTTTTAAATCCTCACCCGAGGACATTTTTTCATTTTTTTGTTCAGACAGAGCGGGAGGGAGAGAGAGGAAGAGAGAGAGAGAGAAACATTGATGTGAAAGGGGCACATCGAGTGGCTGCCACCCGCATGACCAACCAGGGCCAGGGACAAACTGCAACCGAGGTACGTGCCCTTAGCGGGAACTGAATCCGGGTCTCTCTGGACCGCAGGCCGACGCTCTCACCTCTGAGCCAAACCTGCCAGGGCTCCATTGCTTTTAATTCTGCGCTCTCCTCGATCTTCTGTAAGCCTCCTTTAGTCCTGTGGATTTTCTTACCTACATCACCTTCCTGTTTTCCCTTTGTCTGTGCATTATCTCAGCTCAGCTATACCTTTAGGGACACTCACCCAGAGCCCGTGATTCAGGGTACCCCTCCAAATGCCACCGAGCGCTGCTTTTGTCCTGGGTGTGGACGAAAGGGCGTGCTGTGTTACATCATAAAGCCCACCTGGGCAGGTCACGGTGCGTGGTCATGGTCCAGGCCTGCACCTTCTTTGATGAAAAGGGTTAAGCCAGCCCTACCCACTTTCCTTGTCCATCTAGGTTAATACCCCTTTGGCACACCAGAGTGACCCTCTTTTTAATCCCCTCGGAGGTGTAACCACCCTCAGGGGAACACAGTGTGCTGCCGGGGACCCCTGCCCTCACCCCCTTGCAGCGGCATGTCCTCTCTCAATGCCAGTTGTGTAACTGAAACCACAAACTCGTGCTCAGACGGATTTGAGATCCCGCTTCCTGTCACTTGTCATCAGTTTGGGCTCAAATAAACTCATAAAAATTATCGACAGCCCTGGCCAGTTTGGCTCAGCGGTGAGAGTGTCTGCCTGCGGTCCGGAGAGACCTGGGTTCGGTTCCCGCTAAGGGCATGTACCTCGGTTGCAGTTTGTCCCCGGCCCCGGTTGGTCGTGCGGGTGGCGGCCACTTGATGTGTCCCTTCACGTCGATGTTTCTCTCTCTCGCTCTTCCTCTCTCTCCCTCCCACTCTATCCGAACAAAAAATGGAAAAATGTCCTCGGGTGAGGATACAAAAAAAATTACCGCCCTGGCCAGTTTGGCTCAGCGGTTAGAGCATCGGCCTGCGGTCCAGAGAGACCTGGGTTCGGTTCCCGCTAAGGGCACGTACCTCGGTTGCAGTTTGTCCCCGGCCCTGGTTGGTCGTGCGGGTGGCAGCCACTCGATGTGTCCCTTCACGTCGATGTTTCTCACTCTCTCTTCCTCCCATTCTATCTGTACAAAAAATGGAAAAATGTCCTCGGGTGAGGATACAAAAAAAAAAAAAATTGCCTACAGGTTTGGGTGTTTCTTCTTTCGCCATGGGTATGAATAGCAGAGCTACACGTTTGAGACAGCAGAACAATTTTCATGCAGCTAAACTTCGACATGTAGTACAGAAGGTCAAAGAGTGGGCTCTGGAGTCAGGCTGCCTGGGTTCAAGAGCTAGTGTGTCCCACCAGCTGTGTGACCTTGGCCAGGTTGCTTAACCTCTCTGGGCTTCCATGCTTGCAATTGTACGATGGTATTAAACAACCACAGTACCTGCCTCCTAGGGTTGTTGCAAGCAATCAGTCGTCAATAAAATACCGTGTTTAGAATCATGCTAACCTTGTAGGAAGCACTCAGGATCCCTAGCTACTCTTCTATTTATTTATTTACTCATTCATTCATTCACTCATTCATTCATTCATTCAGTGTTAGTCCTCACCCAAGGATTTTTCCCATTAATTTTTTTTGGATACAGTGGAAGGGAGGGAGGGAGACAGAGAGAGAAACATTGATGTGAGAGGGACACATCAATTGGCTGCCTCCAAAATGAACCTGACGAGGGCTGGGGATCGAACCAGCAACCCAGGTACGTGCCCTCAACCGGGAATCGAACCCGTATCTCTTTGGTCCTTGGGCTGGCTCAAACTGCTGAGCCAAACCAGTCAGGGCTAGAAGCCAACCCTTGTCCTGGCTGGTTTGGCTCAGCGGTTAGAGCGTCGGCCCGCGGACCGGAGACTCCCGGGTTCAGTTCCCGCTAAGGGCATGTACTTCCGTTGCAGTTTGTCCCCGGCCCCGGTTGGGGTCGTGTGGGTGGCAGTCAGTCGACGTGTCTCCCTTTCTTCGATGTTTCCCTCTCTCTTCCTCCCTGTCTCCCTCTTGCTCTATCTGAAGGTAAATGCCAAAAAAATGTCCTCGGGTGAGGATTAAAAAAAAAAAGCCAACCTTGAGGAGACGCTCAGTGCTACCGGAAGATGGAAGATGAAAGTGATGTAGACGGATTTCACTGAGATTAGGCTGTAGGCTGCGGCTTTGAGGGTGTGGACCAGATGGCCAGTCTTGCTTGGGCTGCTTTGTCCCCTCTGGTGGGGCACTCAGGTTGTGGCCACTTGACCACCCATGGCTCCTAGGAGGGCACCTCAGGGTGGGGTAACCCCAGGTGGTGATACAGGGAGATGCCCTTTCCCTTCCATTTTGGGGGTGGATGTGGTCAGGGTCTTCACCTCATAGCCCACCCCCCAGAGCAGCCAGTACAGCCCCCCGTGCCTTGTCCTGTCCCCCGGCCCTGGTGCAAAGGCGGATCCTCACTTGGCTCCTTGCTGCCCAGCCTGGAGCAATGGGGGAGACATAGGGGCACCCGGGAAAGCCCGAAGGATATGGGGTGAGCTCTTGTCTTCCTATTAATTTTGGCTCAGCTTCATCCCCCCCTTTTAAATTGATTTCACTTTTTAGAGCAGTTCTAGGTTCCCCGCAAAACTGAGCACGAGGTGCAGAGACACTCCCCGTGGACCCCCTCCCCCCGGACCCCCTACCCTTCTGTGCACAGCCTCCCCCGTTATCAGCAGCCCCACCACCGTGGTATATTTGTTACAACCAGTGAACCCATATTGACACATCGCTATCACCCAAAGTCCATAGTTTACCTCAGGGTTCACTTTTGGTGTGCGGTCTACGTTTGCACAGATGTGCGTGGCATGGAGCCGACACTGTGGTACCGTACAGAGAGGTTTCACTGCCCTACACATCGTCTGTGCTCAGCTACTCATCCCTCCTCAGGCCAGCCCTGGCACCCCCCCGGCACCCCTGGCACCCCTCTTGCGACAACACTCCCATCTCCCCCGGCAACCCCCAGCAACCCCCAGCAACCCCCGATCCTTTGCTGCTCCGCGGTTTTGCCTTCTCCAGGCTCACCGCAGCCTCTCGAGCTGGCTTTGCTCACTCAGGAATATGTATTCAATCCCTAATGTCTGCTCATGCTGGGCCCCCATTTCTATAACTGCGCACCTCCAACAGTCTTTCCGCTCTGGAGAGGAGGGAGATGACTTGGCCATTCCTTTAAGCTTGTGTTCCCCAGCCCAGGCCAGGGCCGTGTCCCGGTGGGCAGCCCTACGTGGACGTTGGCACTGAAGCCGCAGGAGGGGAGAAGCCAGTGCTCTGCTCATCTGCCCCGGAGAACAGCATCCACATCCTCCCTGCGCCTTTCCCATCTCGCCCCGGGGCGTTGCCCCTCGCCCTGGGCCCTGCCTCTCGTGTCTTTGTTTGTCCGGCCCCTCACTCCATCAGGCCCTTCTTTCCTCCCCAACCAGGCAGTTCTTTCCAGACCCTCCCGCGTCCCCCAGAGGTACCTGTCTGCTCCGCACGCCTCGGCTGCAGCCTTTGACTTGGCCTCCTTCTGGAGCTTTATGGCGTTGAGAGACCCGCCCTGGAGGGAGGGACAGGGCGAGGGCCGGGCCGGCCAAGGTGGGGACCCACGGAGGGCTCAGGGGGCTCCACAGCGGGCAGGGCCGCCGGCCCGGGACGGCATGGCTCTGGCTGCTGCAGCCCAGGGCTTCTGCTGCCCCTGCAAGTGCCCAAGGTTGGAAGCACCCGGTCGCCCACCATTCAGCTGCCGGGTCGCGTCTGCTCCTCCCAACAACACAGGTGTCCTAGTGTCTGTCTCCCAACATGCTCCTGCCTCGGGGACGCCTTCCATGAGCGCTGTCTGTGGAAAAACTGCGGGGAGCCGTGGGAGCCGGGACACCACAATCTACTCCAGTTCATGTTGAGGTTCAAAGGCCGGAGATAAGGACCAGGGGAATTTACCAGAAAGCAGCCGCAGCTGAAGCGGATATATGGACAAAGGCTGGTAGGGATGGACACTGGCATCACAAGCAGAGAATCTGAGCCCTGGCCGGTTTGGCTCAGTGGTTAGAACCTCGGCCCGTGGACCAGAGAGTCCTGGGTTCGGTTCCCGCTAAGGGCACGTACCTCGGTTGTGGTCTATCCCAGGTCCCGGCTGGGGTCGTGTGGGTGGCAGCCAGTTGGTGTGTCTCTCTCACATTGATGTTTCTCTCTCTCTCTTCCTCCATTTCTCCCTCCTGCTCTATTATCAGAAGATAAGTGCAAAAATGTCCTTGGGTGAGGATTTAAAAAAAAAAAAAAAAGCCCTGGCCGGTTTGGCTCAGTGGTTGGAGCGTCGGCCTGCGGTACAGAGAGACCTGGGTTCGGTTCCCGCTAAGGGCACGTACCTCGGTTGCAGTTTGTTCCTGGCCCTGGTTGGTCGTGCGGGTGGCAGCCACTCGATGTGTCCCTTCACATTGATGTTTCTCTCTCTCTCTCTTCCTCTCTCTCCCTCCTGCTCTATCTGCACAAAAAATGGAAAAATGTCCTCGGGAGAGGATAAAAAAAAAAAAAGCAGGGAATTTGACCTACATATAGAATGGGGAGCCAGAGACAGAGCAGTTTGGGGAGCATGAAGTCACCCAGCTGAGACTCTAGAAGAAGTCTTCTTTGCATCTCTGAGACCCTGGCAGGA